GTCCCTGTGGTGGTGGTACCAGGTGTTGGGGGTGGGGTCCCTGTGGTGGTGGTACCAGGTGTTGGGGTTGGTATCCCTGTGTTGGTGGTACCAGTTGTTGGGGATCGAGTCCCTGTGGTGGTGATACCAGGTGTTGTGGATGCCGTCACTGTGGTGGTGGTACCAGGTGTTGGGTGTTGGGTCCCTGTGGTGGTGGTACCAGGTGTTTTGGATGGGGTCCCTGTGGTGGTGGTACCAGGTGTTGGGGGTGGGGTCCCTGTGGTTGTGGTACCAGTTGTTGGGGTTGGTGTCCCTGCAGTGGTGGTACCAGGTGTTGGGGTTGGTGTCCCTGTGGTGGTGGTACCAGGTGTTGGCGGTAGGGTCCCTGTGGTGGTCATACCAGGTGTTGGGGTTGGTGTCCCTGTTGTGGTGTAGGCAGGTATTGGGGGTGTGTTCCCTGTGCTGGTGGTACCAAGTGTTGGGGGTAGGATCCCTGTGGTCCTGGTACCCAGTGTTGTGGATGGGGTCCCTGTGGTGGTGGTTCCAGGTGTTGGGGGTGGGCTCCCTTGGGTGGTGGTACCCGGTGTTGTGGCTGGGGACACTGTCGTGGTGGTACCAGGTGTTGGGGGTGGGGTCCCTCTGCTTGTGTTACCAGTTGTTGGGGTTGGTGTCCCTGCGGTGGTGGTACCAGGTGTTGGGGTTGGTGTCCTTGTGGTGGTGGTACCAGGTGTTGTGGATAGTGTCCCTGTGGTTGTGGTACCAGGTGTTGGGGGTGGGATCCCTGTGGTGGTGGTACCAGGTGTTGGCCGTGGGTTCCCTGTGGTGGTGATACCAGGTGTTGGGGTTGGTGTCCCTGTCGTGGTGTAGGCAGGTATTGGGGGTGGGGTCCCTGTGGTGGTGGTACCAGGTGTTCGGGTTGGTGTCCCTGTGTTGGTGGTACCAGGTGTTGGAGGTGGGGTCCCTGTCGTGGTAGTACTAGGTGTTGGGGAAGGTGTCCCTGTACTGGTGGTACCAGGTGTTGGGGGTGGGGTCCCTGGGGTGGTCCTAGTATTGGGGTTCGTGTCCCTGTAGTGGTGGTACCAGCTGTTGGGTTTGGTGTCCCTGTGGTCGTGGTACCAGGCGTTAGGGTTGGTCTCCCTGGGGTGGTGGTACCAGGCGTTGTGGTTGGTGTCCCAAGGGTGGTGGTACCAGGTGTTGGGAGTGGGATCCCTGTGGTGGTGGTACTAGGTGTTGTGGATGGGGTCTCTGTGGTGGTGGCACCAGGTGTCTGGGTGGAGGTGATAGGGAGCGTTGTGGCTGTGGTTGTGGTGTAGGCAGGTGTGCTGCCACACTTACAGCAGTACACGTTGATCTCGTAGTTGATGCAGTAGGCCATGGGAATCATCCCGCCAGGCTTTTGGTCTTGGTTTTTGCACTCCAGCCCCATTGAGACATCGCACACTACGGTCTGTCCAAGCTCTTCAATTGGAGTTTCAGGGTACATGGCGGCTCTGCAGGAGATGTTAGTTGCCCGGCCTTGTCCACAGACATCTCCAATCAATTCCACTTCTCCACCTGATTGCGAATAGTCAGGTTTCCCTGAATCCAGCCACCCGGTCCATTCGCAGTCAAGCACACATGGAGTGGTTGTTGGCACTGGGGTGGATGGAGTGGTGGGCTCAGGAGTAGGTGTAGCTGTGGATGTCGTAGTAGTGGTTGTCACCGAGGTAGTCCTTTCTATGGTAGTGGGCACAGTTGTTGAAGATGGTGACGTGGTGTGGGTGGTGCTTGATGGAGGGAAGGGAGTGGTTGTTGAAGGGATGGGAGTGGTTGTTGGAGGGATGGAGGTGGTGATGGTTGAAGGGATGGGGGTGGTGGTTGGAGGGATGGGGGTGGTGGTGGTTGGAGGGATGGGGGTGGCGGTTGGAGGGATGGGGGTGGTGGCAGTTGGAGGGATGGGGGTGGCGGTTGGAGGGATGGGGGTGGCGGTTGGAGGGATGGGGATGGCGGTTGTTGAAGGGATGGCGGTGGGCGTGTTCCTTGCAGTCGTGGTGGCTGGGGTGGACAGAGGACAGTCATCCATCAGCAGACAGCAATTGACACGTATCTCGTAGTCATAACAGAGTTCAAATGGTCCGTTTCCAAACTGGTCTTCGTTGTGGCAAATGAAGCCAAGTGAGACGTCACACTGAACCTTCTGGCCCAACTCCTCCCAGCTGAGGTGGGGCTCCGTGGCCGACCTGCACTCGATGTCCTCGGGAGCCCTGCAGACACCCTCAAACGTCTCTCGGTCACCGCTGTCACTGCTGCTGCCCGGGTGGTGGTCGTTGATCCAGTCGGACCAGAAGCAGCACAGCTCTGGGGGAGCAAAGCTGGCATTGGTCACTGTGCCTCGAGGGAGGATCCTCTAGGAGGCTACCGTGACTCAGAGGACTCAGTGGCCTCTGTGACCGTCCCCCAGATCCAGCCCCTCCTATCCCAGTCATTGCTGGGACCAGATCATAGCGCCAGAGTCCAGGGCTGGACCCCACTGCCAGCCTCATTTTGCAACTGAAAAATGAGCAGAGAGGAGGGGCCACGCCAGGGCACGCCCAGGCAGGCCACACCCCGTCTCCAAGCTCCAGCCCAGTGCCCCTCCTCGTCTATTCTCAAATATTTGTGTCCAAAAACTAAGGAACAAAAGGGTCACCCGTTCCCCTGAGGAAGCCAGAGAGGGCTTTGTCTCTACTCTTGACCAACGATGCGTCCACCAGAGCTGTGCAGGTCCCGCCTCATTAGTGCCTGGCCTCAGCACACCCCGCACAGCCACCGAAATACACCGGTCTTTGGTCTGCGAGCAGGTGCGCCCCGCCCCTCACGTCTGCGTGCCAAGGGAGCCCCAGGGCACATGCGACCCTGCCGCCGTGTATCAGTGCGAGATGCCGTCCACGCCACTTACCGGGAGCTGTCGATGACGCTGCAAGGAAGAGGGAAAAGAGAGGACGTTACTGCCTACGTCAAGATTTCTAAGTCTTTTTTGAATTTTTAAAAGTGTCTCTTTTCCTGTGGCTGTCACACCCCTGGCAGCGTGTGGGGGGGAGCTGCAGTTTCAACCAGAACCGATGCAGGGGCACTTCTGAAGGAAAGTTCTCCAACCTCCCTAACCCTGAGGGATATTTTCCTGCCGGTTGTCGGAAATGTCCCCAAGTCACCTTCCGCCGTGGTCTGGGCTTGGGGACGTGGACGTGATGTGGCCATCCCAGCTCGTGAGGCCAGGGATTCAGGGGCCACGTCTCCCAGCTCAGAGCAACGCCAGTGCCTTCACCGCACGGCCGATTGGCAGGGCTCGGAGCCTGGCGGGCCCTGCCCCGAGAAGGGCCGTCTGTGCCGGGGGCCAGTGCTGGGTGCAGGGCAGGGCCAGGCCCCAGGACGTCAGGGGCTCACCTGTGCTGGGGGTCGGGGAGCCAGTGGTGGTGGTGAAGCTGGGGCGGCTGCCGGGGGTGGGCGTGGTGGAGACCGTCGGGGTGGACGGGCGTGTCGTGGTGGACTCGCAGATGTCGAAGTGCTTCTCCACCGTCCCGTTGGGCCCGCAGGTCTCCCAGTAGCAGAAGACGCCATCCTGGGTCAGGTTCAAAATCTTCCCTGGGGTGAGAGGGAGCGAGAGGTGGGGACAGCCGGGCACACCCCAGTTCCAACAAGTGGCAGACAAACGCCTTAGCGGGACTCCAGCCCCAGAGCCTCCCCCCAGGAAACAGGGCCCGCATCGGCGCAGACACCGGCCCCCAGGGCACCCGCTCCCCACAAGGAGCAAACGTGTCGCGTGAACTCTGAGGGCAGCCGCGTGTCAGGGGCCCACGGGGCACAGCCTGGGAGAGACCAGGCCTCGCCCAAGCCCCGGCTTCCCCGGTCGGGGGCCCTGGCCCGTGGCCCCTTTACCTTCCTCAGGCCGGCAGACAATGTGAGAAGAGTCGGTGCACACGCTGCAAGGCAAGGGCCACGGCTGCAGGCGCCTTCCCGCCAAGGCCTCCCCTCCCTGCAGACACCGCTTCCCCTGCCGCGAGTGCGGCCCAGACACCCGGCACTGCCCCAAAACCCAGCTCCAAAGGAGCCCCACCCCTGGGTTCCAACTGTGGGCAGGAAGGGAGCAGGGCAGGCAGGAAATGCCAGCCCACCGGGACAGGACGAGAGCAGAGGGCTCCCGCGCCTCTGTGGCGTGGCTCCTGCGGGCGTATGCGTGTGCACAGGTGACTGTGTGTGTCTCCATGCCTGTGTCCGTGTGTGTGAACACGTGTACAGTGCTTGTGCACCTGTGTGTGGGCTGTGTCCACGCGTGTGCTGACATGCGCCTGTAGGTACACCTCCCCTAGGCCCCCGCCACCTGGGCTCAGGTACCAAGACTTGCAGATCTCCTCGGTGGGAACCGACGCTCCGGGTAGGTAGCGAGTGTCTTCCACGTAGCAGCCACACTTGTTCCCGGAGACACACTTCTTCAGGTCCTCATCATAGATGGGCCTGTCCTTGGGGCATCGGGGGTAGCAGCCTGGTGGGCACAGACACAGGGCTGGGACCACCACAGAGGACTCCTGTCCCGCAGACCCACCCGTCGCCCCTCTTCCCAGGGTTCTTCAGCCAGGGGTCTCCCGGCCCCACTGGGCCCCACACGGCCTGCTGGTGGGCAGCCCGGCCCTGCCCAGCCCCCGAGCCTCGCCTGGCCCCTGGCCCTCCGGCACAGCGGGGCACTCTTTCCCCCACCTCGCTCCTTCGCGGCACTAGTTCCCAGCTCAGACGCCAGCACCCCCAGAGGACCCGCAGACCTGTGTCTGCAATGCCCCCCACCTGGCTCCACGCAGCCCACAGCACCCCAGCTCCTGACGTCTCAAGTTTGCACATCAACCTGCTTCCTCCCTGATTCTGCGACAAGGTGAGCCTGGCTCCCCCCTGGCCTCGGGTCCCCAGACCATCAAGGACATCTCTCGGGGTGTCCCTGTGGGTCTCCAGACCACACCGCCTTCCACCCCACACGGGCCGGGCCAGCCGGCTGCCACCTCCTGGAGGCCGTGCCCCGCGTGGGCTGCTGGCGCCCGCTCACCCTCCAGGTAGGACACGGAGATGTTGGAGTGGATGCCATTGAGCGTCCTGCAGGTCTCGAAGCTGCGGTTCCCACACGGCTCGTAGTGCCACTCGCACTTATCCGGAGGGTTGTAGTAGTCGCAGAACACGGCTGGGGGCCAGAGGGGGACGGGTCAGACTCGGGAAGGTGCGGGTGGGCGCCAAGCTGCGAGTGAGGCTGGGTGGGGCACGGGGGCAGCAGCGCATCAAGCTTACTCCTGCCAGCCCAGGTCCCTCGGTGGCCCTGAAGAAGGATGCCCGGGGAGTGGGGGAGGGGATGGAGGACAAGGCACCCGACAAGTGCATGCTGGGTGGGCCAGGAGTGGCGCCCAGCCCGCTGCGTGGCAGCCCCTGCCCCCGTCAGCCCTGACTCTGGAACGGGTGGGCACTCACGGCACAGGTCTGGCGTCCTCCAGAACACACAGGCGCCCTCCTTGGTGCACTCTTGTGCGTAGGCGGCCACGGCAGAGCAGAAGCACTCGCAGTCCCCGCCCGTGTCGCAGGAGCACGAGTCGTGCACGCAGGCCTCATAGAAGGCCTTGGGGTCCACCTAGGGGGAAGACCTCAGTGTACCCCGGGCCCGTGCTGCTGTCACGAGGCCAGAACTTCAGGACTCTGCAGCTGGCCCTGCTCCTAGGATGGGCACGTCACCCGGCACCAGCCTCCCAGAGCCCCCAGAGGAGATGTCTGGAGGACTGGCTGTACAGACCTGTCATCCAGCTTCTCAGAGCCCTGCAGTCCTCAGCTGTAGGATGACAATCCTAAAACCCGCCCCTCCCCCCACTGCCCTAGCTGAGGGCCAGGGCCTTAGTGGGTGGTGTGTCCTTTCTCCCTCCTAGGTGAGCCTGTGAGCCTAGGAAGGTAGCAGGAGGCTAGAGGTCCAGCCAGGGGTCTCAGAGGAAGAGCTGGTCATATGGTCACCTGTCCAACAGATGCCAGAGCCAAACTTGGAAGGCGTGTGCAAGGTGCCTACAGAGCCCTCTGAGAAGCAGCCGCCCAGCCCGACTCCACCCGTGGCCACGCCCTTCTCATTAGCATGCGGTGGCCCCGCCCCACCCACTGCCCCTGCCTATAGCCGGCCCTGCCCACATCCCCGCCCACCACCCTGCTCTGCCTACAGCTGCCCCGCCCCTGCCCTGCCCACATCCCCGCCCACAGCCCTGCTCTGCCTACAGCCGGCCCCGCCCACCACCCCACCTTGCTGTGGCAGGCGCTGAACACGCTGCTCTTGAGGATGCTGCACTGCTTCTCGGCCCAGGAGTGGCGGTGCGGGTTCAGGCTGCAGGGCTCAGGGACGGTGCTCACGTCCGGGCAGGTGGAGGCCTCTTTCCAGCTGTTCCCGAAGTCCAGCTCACTGCTGACCACCATGTGGTCCCGCGTGGTGAGGTCGTTGCTGGAGCGGTGGTCGAAGTTCCCGCACAGGCCACACACAGCGCCCTGCAAGGGACACGCTCAGCTCGGAGAAGGGGCCACGGGAGAGAGGGTGGGGGCAGGGCGGGCGGGGGCAGCCCACCTTGTAGGACGGATCCAGCTTGACAAAGACGGTGGTCTTCTTGTCCCAGATGACGATGACGCCGATGCTGGCCTCGACCACCAGGTACTGACCCACCTCCCGCGTGGTGTAGGGCACGTGGTGGCCCACGTCACGCTGGATCACCACATGGTGCTTGTCTTCCAGCTTCAGCTCCGTCCTCTGCCCGGAGGAGAGGGCCAGTCACTGGCAGGCCCCAGGGTCCCTGAGGGCTCCGGTGTCCCCAGGGGCCAGCAGCACTCACCCCCAAGAAGATCTTGATGGCCTTGGAGCAGGTGACACCCGTGGTGCCACAGGGGACATTCTCGGTGATGATGCTGAAGGAGCCCAGTGAGGAGTTCTGGCCACAGTAGTCCTGGGCGACAGGGCAGCGTCAGCCGTAGGGGCCCCGGCGCAGCCCAGCTGGCAGGGGCCGGGCAGCCTCCAGAGCAGACAGACCCTGGCCCACCCTCCCCGGTCCGGGGAGCTGTGCTCTGGCTCGGACCCCACCAAGCCTCAGCCCTCCTCTTCTGGCTGGGGACGATGACACCGCGCCAAGGGGCGTGGGGTTCAGACCACCCGTGTGGGCAGCTGCTCAGCCCCAGCCCCTCTTGACCTGTCTTAACTGCCCCCCACACGCCCCTCAGTCCCCACGGCTGGTCTGTCAACCCCACCCTCCCCAGGCACCCACAGGAAGGTCACAGTGCTGGGGGAGGGGCATCATCATGCCCCCTACCCACTGCTGGAAGGCCGGATCCTCCTGAGAGCGTGGGCTGCTGCCCAGGAAGGGTGGGCCCCTCCCACGTCCCAGGGCTTCGTCGTGGGCTGAGGGCCACACTCAGGGGCGGACTGGGCAGTGTCTGTGGCCTCACCTGGACAGCCACGTAGGAGCAGTGTCCATCAAAGTCATAGTGTTTCCCGTCAAAGGTGACGTAGTGGCCACTCCCGTAGATGGAGCAGGTTCCGTGGCACATAGCCTGGGTGCACACCCAGCGTCCTTTCTGGCAGGTGCTGAGGACAGGAGAGGAGCCTGAAGGGACCTGGGGGCCCCCCACCCCTGCTCAAACGGGGCCTGGACGAGGCCCCGGGCACCACCGTGGGGCCAGCGTCCCAGGCAGCCCACACAGGACACCTGCAGGCTCCCACTCTAGCCCCGTAAGTGGCACCAAACACACCAACCTTGGCTCCAGGGACAGCGGCAGACACTGAAGACCACCCTGCCACGGAGGGCCACCACGTGGTCCCACAGGACCCAGCAGACCCCACAGGACAGGCACCTGCCCCTTGGCCTGTTCTCTGTGGCCGCCAGGCCGGCTTACCAGCTGTTGCAGTCCACCTTGATCTTGTCCCCAGGAGAATACACGTCTCTGTTGTGGACGCAGGGGCATTCCTCCTCCACCACGCAGCCGCCGCGGCCGTCGTCCATCAGCCCGTCGGGGCACACGCAGCCGCTGATGCACTCGGTGTGGTACTGAGGACAGCAGGGGCAGGGCTCAGCGGTCAGGCCAGGCCCCAGGCCTCCACGTCCCTCCCAGGGACCCGGGTGTCCACAGGAGTCGGCACCCACGCCCCGGGGCGGGGCGCAGCATGAGAGGCTGCCTGCACCTTCACGACAGGCCCAGACAGCCAGGGACCCCCGCCCGCCCACGGCAGCCCCCCACACGCACATAGCCGGCGGCCAGCGTCTGGCAGCTGATGGGACGGGGCTTTGCGGTGGCCAGGGCGGTCAGATTGTTGCAGTCGATCTGGATCTTTGGGGCCGCGCAGCCTGCAGGATGGAGGGGCTGTCTCAGCTCAGGCAGGCAGGGGCGGGGAGCAGGCCCGGCCGAGCGCGGGTCGGGGCGGCGTCCACTCACTCTGACCAAGCAGCTTGACCTGCGCGCAGTGCAGCCTCCCGTTCCGGCAGACGCTGTGGGGGGAGGCGGACGGTGAGCAGGGCAAGGCTCTGTCCCCCGCAGAGCGGCCACGGGAAGCGCCACTGCCCGGGACAGACGTGAGCCTGGCCACTCTCAGAACCGCCCCCAGGTGCGGCCTCCCACGTCTCTGCTCGGGGCAGACTCAGCCCCCGCGCCGTGCCCCCTCCCCAGGCCCCGGCACCCACCATCGCTCCTCCTGCCGCACGACCACGTCCCCCGCCTCCAGGTAGAGGCCGCGGTGGTAGCAGGAGCACTTGGCCAGAGGCACACAGCGGCCCTTCTCGTCCAGGAAGGTGTGGTCGGGGCAGCCGCAGCCGTCCACAGGCACAAAGCCCTGGAGACAGTGGGCATCGGGCTCGGAGAGGGAGCGGCAGGTCTGCTGGCAGGTGGTCAGGTTGTACAGGAAGAGCTGCGAGTTGGGGCAGGAGTCCACGTCCTCGTCTGCGGGGGCACCAAGGGCCAGCGTGAGGGGCAGGAGGGACCTGACCTCTGGCTCCCACCCCACAGGCTGTCCCTGGGCCCACACTCTGCCCGGAAGGGCCCAGGGGCCAGGGAAGGCGGTGACCTGGGACCCCCAGCTCCGAACTCAGCTGCCACCTCTCCAGGCTCCAGTCCCTGCAGCGTCACTGCTCCTCGCGCACGAGGGGCTGCTTTCCCCGCTCCTGACCAGTGAAGCTGGAAGCTGGGTGGCCGGCGGCGGGGACCTGACCCCTTCCCTGCACCGCCCACGGCCCGGGCCCCCATCCTGGACGCCCGTCCCCGGGTCTCGGCGAGCAGCCGGCACTCACTGCAGACTTGCTCCCTCCAGCCCCACAGCGTGATGCCCTTGGCGGCGCAGGCGTGTGCGTAGGAGGACAGGGCGGCGCACAAGCAGTCTTCGTTGTTCTCACAGTTACACGTGTCGTACTTGCACCTCTGCGGGCAAAGAAAGCGGCGGACGGTGAAGCGTGGAGGCCGGGCACGGCCCCAGCACCCCCGTGAGCGCAAGCGACGCTCACACACGTGCATATGTGCCGGCACTCGCGGACGTGTGCTCACACACGCACACACACACGCGCGCACACGCACACACACATGCTCGGCTGCCGGCAGGCTCAGCCAGGGCTTCAGGGACGCCCTGATGGCTCCCAGGACCCCACTCACCTTGTAATACTCGGCGGGGTCCACAGCCGAGTGGCACCTGCCGAAGGGCGTCTCTGTCTTCTTCAGGAGGGAGCACCAGTGCTCGGCGTAATTGGCTGTGGGTGGGGGGCAGAGCCTCAGCCGGGGCTGGGCGCCCCAGCGTCCCCTGGATCTGGCTTCCCGGTCGCCCCGGCTGGAGCGGACGTCGTCCCCCCGTGGACCCAAGCCCAGGGCCCTCTCTCTGGGCAAATCTCTAGGCAGCTTCAGCAAGATGGGGCCCCCCCAGCTCCGGGGCCTCCCGCCTCCCACTCTCGACCCTGAGGAGCCTGGCATCCCAGGGTGACGTGTGACGGGACAGCAGGAGGGCACGCTGCCGAGGCTCCAGGCCAGCGCCAGGACCAAGGCCACCACCCCGCAATTAGCGGCCCGGCTCCTCTGCCGGGTCACCTGGCAGGTGCCACCATAAACCAGCCGCTGGGCGGGAACAGCAGGTGGCCCCGCGTGGAGGGCCGCCCCACCCCCACCCCATCCCTGCGAGGAAGGCCGGCCTCACCGCTCTCCACGCTGAGGGAGCAGGGGTCGTCCAGCCAGTCCTCCTTGTCCTGGCAGCTCGACTGGGCCTTCCAGGTGTTGGCGAAGCCGGCCCCCGTGGCCTCCACCAGCCCGCCCGCCGTCAGGAAGTCGTCACTCTCCAGGCCGTTGAAGTTCCCGCAGAGGCCTGAGGGGGCAGGACAGGGCTGGGGAGGCGCCCGGGCGGGCGGGGGCCAGGCCCCCCGGGGGGCCCTCGGGGCAGCAGGCGGGGCAGGGCCACTCACCCTGCACCTGGCCCTGGGCGGCCTGGTCCAGCGTCACGAAGAGCTGCATGATGGGGGCCAGCTGCACCTGCAGCCGGAGGCCGAAGGCCGTGCTCATGACGACGTGGTAGGAGGAGGGGCGGAGCACGGAGAAGCTGGCTGGGGGGCACAGTGAGGGAGGGGCCGTGGGCTCTGGGTCCCTCCAGCAGGAGGGGACACCCTCCCACTGTCCCCCCAGCAGGGGCCCGAGACAGCGGTCTGCCAGAGCCACAGGGCCCCTCCCCGGGCCCACCCGCCAGCCTCCCGTGGATCCGGCCCGGCGGGCAGAGCGGACTCACGCGTCACGTGGGGCAGCCGCATCTGCAGCTCGTTCAGCATCACGCTGCCGTCGGACCTGAAGGCCACCACCTGCGGGGAAGGCCGGGCTGCGTGGGGCTGTGGGGGCTGCGGGGCCCCCGGGGCGCTGGGGCTGGGGTGGGGGGCTCACGTTCTTCTCATCGTCGGCCAGCAGCAGCACCGTCTTCAGGCAGGTCTGCGTGTCTGAGGAGCCGCAGGACGCCAGCTCGCCCAGGAGGGCGTAGGAGCCGTTGAGGTCGTCCTGCGCAGGGAGGGGCGGCGTTGCGGGGACCGGGGCCGGGGCAGGCAGCCCCTCAGCCCGGGCCCCAGTGGCGGCTTAGAGGGGAAGCTGTTCTCAGACTCCAGCCCGAGGCAGCGCCGTCCAGGGACAGCCCCCGGCTGCTGCTGCCCACCGGACAGCCCCGGGCCTGCCGCCGGCCCCACGCCCCGGACCCCGGCCAGCCCACCTTGGCCAGGACGTAGTAGCAGTCCCCGTGGAAGGTGTACTTTTTCCCGTCGAAGGTGGTGATGTGGGCACCGCCTTCCAGCGCACAGGTCCCAGGGCACGGCAGGTCTTGGCACACCCAGCGGCCAGCATCGCAGACACTGTTGGGCGGGGGCACGGGTCAGCGTCCGGCTGCTGCGCCAGCCTGCCCGGTCCCCGAGCCGCGGGCGCGAGCCTCACCACTGCTCGCAGTCGTTGGTGATCTCCTGGCCCGGGGCGTACTGGTGCCCGTGCAGCCTGCAGTGGCACTGGCTGGCAGGGATGCAGCCGCCGCCCGCGATGTCGTCGTACACGGTGCCTGGGAGAGCCAAGGACCTGGCGTGACCCTAGCCGGCCTCCCACCTGCAGGCACGTCTGACCCTTTGGGCTGACACCTGCGGTTCCCACTAGTCTCAGGCCAGGGCCAGGTGACGACCAGGAAGGCCTGTCCCCTTCTCAGCCTCCCTGAAGCCACCGCTACAGGAGGGTCTTGGCCTTGGTGCCGTCCATCGGGACCTGCCCCTGGGACCAGGTGGGGCCCGAGAGCGGGAGAGGCACTCTCTGTGCCTTGCTGCCCCACCGCCCAGCAAAGCTACCCTTCAGTGCAGGGGAGAACCTCAGGCCCAAGGCAGCAAGGCCACCTGTCCACCGCACAGGCCAGGGAGGGTGGCCTCGGGGCAGCACCCCCTCCTCCCCCGGGGCTCCCGGGGCGCGCACCTTCCGGGCAGAAACAGCCGTCCATGTAGTGCTCCTCGCACAGGCTGCTGACCTCCAGGTGTGAGCAGCTGTCCATGCAGGGCGAGCCGCTCTCCAGGTAAACCATGTTGCCAGGGCAGCTCTTGGCTGGAATGGCAACGGCAGCGGGGTGAGCCGGCCGTGGGGCGCTCGGTGTCGGGCTGCCCCGCCCGGGTGTAGAGGCCGCCTCGGGGAGCTCCCCAGGGTCCCGCCCGCAGGGGCGCTTACGGCACAGCGTGGGGGTCCTCCAGTTCCCGGGCCGGCCGCCGGCGTGGGAACACTGGCGCGAGAACTGGGCAACCGTGCTGCAGACGCAGGTGTCGTTGGCAGGGCACTGGCAGCGGTCCTGCACGCAGGCGCTCACGTACGGCTCCCGCGGCACCAGGTCCTGGCAGGCCTCAAAGGCCTCGGCGGTCAGCAGCGTCTCGCACTCGGCGCGCTGGGGACGGAGGCCGGTGGGCAGGCTGCTCGCGCCCGTCACTCCCGCCCACGGGTGGCCGTCGGGACGGGAGCCGCAGGCCGAGAACTCACATGCTCGGAGCAGGACTCGGGCGTCGAAGCCTCCTCGGGCTCCTCGCACTGCTCCTCCGGCTCGTTGACTTTCTGCATGTTCCCGAACTCGAGGGCGCTGATGAGCACGCCTAGGGGTGCACAGCCCTTGAGCGGGGCCTGGGGCTGCAGCCGCCCCAGCCCCGCCCAGCCCGGAGCCGGCCTCACCGTCCGCGAGAAATTCCGAGTAGGTCTGCAGGCCGTTGTAGTCCCCGCAGAGGCCGCAGGTGTGGTTCTGGAACTTACTGTCCAGCTCCAGCTGTGTGGGAGGGGCGAGTGAGCTGGCCTGACCAGGCCCAGGGTCCAGGGCCACCACCGGGACCCCCACAGACGCGCCCCTTATTTGGGCTGGAGCCAGGTGGGCCACAGAGACCGGCCTGGCAGAGGTCACAGTGAGGGCCCCGCCCAGGCCCGCTTCCACTGCTGACCCCCGACCCCGGCTGCTGGGTCCCGCCCCACCCCCACCCTCCCCGGAGGTCCCGCCCCAGGGCTCCTTGCCGGCCGCACCCACCATGAGGGAATCCTCCTGGTCCCACATGAGGGTGAGTCCGGCGCGGGAGTAGACCTTGGTGTAGGCGTCGTTCTTGTCGATGAGCAGCCCGGGGCCGTAGTGCGGGGTGCTGACCCTGGGGGCACGGGAGTCTCTCGGGGCACCGCCAGGGCCCACCTGGTCTGCCCTCCCAGGGTCCCGCTGCCTGGGGGTTCTGGGGCTGCGAACGTCACGTGGGCATCACATGCGCACTGCGTGTGCCTCACATGTGCATCACGTGTGGTAGGGGGAGGCCCCGGACTTGGTGCACCAGCCTGGCGGGGCCTGCTCCCACCTGGGGCTGTAGACGGGGTCGGAGGGCACAGGGGCGTGGGCAGGGAGCACCTGTCCACCTGTCCCCGTCGTCTGGGCGGAGCCAGCCCCGCACAGCTCTCCTCCCTGGGGCGCTGCGCTGGGCACGGCCCCTCGCTGGGGCTGAGGACACCATGTCTGGGGGAGGAGAGGGCCCGGACCCCCCAACCACCTCCGGGCCCTCTGAGCCAGGGCCACCCCCACGGGTCTCCAACCCTGCCCATGGCCTCCACGGCCGACCCTGCAGCTGCCAGGGCCCAGGCAGGACCTGTGCTCACCCCAGCCTCCGCGCCTCACCCCCACAGCCCCCGCTACCCCCAGGCTGGAGCCTCCGGCAGGAAACAGAACCCCCTGGGGCAGGAAAAGGGGGCGTCCTGCAGGTGGGTCAGGAATGCGCTTATTGGGCCTCATTGTTCCGAAGACAATCCGGGAACAACAGGTCCGCATGTAACTCCAGCCAGGGGGGTGGTGCACAGGCCCGGCAGGACCTGGTGGGCTCCGAGGGGAGGGGCTGCAAAGGACTCACAGGACCAGGGAAGCCCCTTGCCTGCTGGGGCAGGCTCAGCGGTGTTTGTTGAATGAATTAGTGACCTGAACTCAAAGCTCAAGGCTCTCCTTCGTGTGCTGGGGCAGAAGGGGGTCTTGAGGGGCTGCGCGGGGACTTGCTTGCCCGCGGGAGCCGTTGCGCCCCGGTACTGGGACGCAGGAGGGCCCCACTCACATGGCGCCGTTCATCACGGCCAGCTGGCGTGTGAGGTAGACGGTGTCGTCCCCCAGGGTCAGCAGCACGGACTCGATCTGCGGGAGGCCCCCGCCCTCGCCTGGGACCCGCTTCAGGTGCACCGAGAACTCCTTGTAGGAGTCCCTGCAGTCGGAGGCCAGGTTGTAGTCGCAGAGGCCGGGGAAGCGGTAGATGTCGCCGTCGAAGGTCTTGTAGTGGAAGTCGCCCCAGGTGCTGCAGACGTTGCCGCCGTGGTTCTGGCTCCGGCCGGCTGGCGGAGTAGCGGGGACAGGGCTGAGTGTCCCCGCCCCTGAGGCTGCCCTCGGAGGCACTGCCACACTGCACGCGACCCTGCGGCCTGCCCTAGCCCAGCCACCCTGCGTCCAGCAGGACAGGGCCGGGCCCTCAGAGGCTGCCCCCACCATGTCCATCGCCGGGGCCAGGCCCCCCGACCACCCCGTCCCTGGGTTTGCACTCCGCCCCCCAACCGCCCCGTCCCC